ATAATAATTCCATTAATAAGAAGAATCAAAATTTTTAAAAATTATTCGATTCCAAATAAATGCAAAATTTACCAAAGCTTGTTTGAAGTTTTGGTTGTTTAATAAAATTATCAGTTTTTAAAGAATATTTATTTTTTTCTTTTAAAGAATATAAATCAAAAAAGGAAGCTGGAGATGATTTGGTTTTACATTTAAATATAAAGCAAAGAGCATTATAAACATCTAATTAATACATATTAAAAACATACATGTTAAACAAAAATGGCGTTGAGTGAGTAAAACGATTTTTGAAATTTATAAGACGTGCAATATGCTTCTGCTGACAATAAAGTGGCTTTAATTTATTTTTATGGGTACTACCCCATGCAATATTAGCATAATTAATATGACAGTGTATAAAAGAGTAATATAGTTGTTTAAATGAATGTTTGTTTAAAACGCTTCTTGCTTTATATAAAACTCCAATGCTTTTTGCAATTTTGTTGCATAAATGTTCGATGTGGTTCTTCCATGATATTTTCATCTACAATGATACCTAGATAATTTGTGAAAATTACTCTTTTTATTTGAATATTATCAATATGAAGAAGAGGCATATTACTTGAAAGTAAATGTTTTTTATATCGTGGATGAAAAAAAATCCATTTAGTTTTATCAATGTTGAGTGAAAGTTTATTTGACTTAAACCAGTCAGATTTTTTTGTTAGTTCAATGTTTATACCATAAAAAAGTTTATTGATGTTATTATTAGATAGGAATAGGTTTGTATCAACAGCAAACATTATAATTGTTAATTTTGAGACTTCATAGAGATCGTTAACATAAATTAGAAATAATAAAGGCCCTAGTATAAATCCCTGTCAAACTCCACAAGTTATATTTAGATAATCTTGTGAAGAAGGTCCGTCGACATTGACAAATTGTTTGCTGACAAAATGTTTTAAATAGCTTTTTAGTAGTTGACAAAATGTTTTAAATAGCTTTTTAGTAGTTTTAAAAGTGATACCATAATGCTCAAGTTTTTTAAACAGTATTTCATGGTCAATTGTGTCAAAAGCCTTAGACAAGTCTATAAAGACGCCTAAAGTATACTCTGACTTTTCGAATCAATCAGTTATACTACGAGTAAGATGAATTATTGCATGTTCAGTAGAGTTATTTCTTTTAAAACCGTATTGATTTATGTAAAGTATATTATTAACAGCAAGATGATTAGATATTTGGTTGAACATAATTCTTTCTAAAATTTTTGAAAAAACAGAGAGGATAAATATTGTTCGTTAATTACTGACATTTAAAGGTTCACCTCCTTTAAATATAGGTGTTATTTTGGCTATTTTCAATTGATCGGGGAAAATCCTTTGATTTATAGAACATTTAAAAAGTTTAAAAGAATATGTTTTATGGTATCGTATGAATCTATGACTATATTACATTATATTTCATCAGGACCAACTGCTTTATTAGTTTAAGGTACTTTATTACCTTAAGCATTTTAAAAGCACTTTCAAGTTCTGAAGAAGATACTTCAAATTTATTTAAACTAGAGATTAATGGAAACACGTAATCATATATTGGATTAATCATATTTGGAATATTTTTAGCTAAATTTTGGCCAAAAGACACGGAATATTTATTCAATTCTTTTGCTATTTGTTTGGGTTCATATAAAAATACGCCTTCAACTTTTATAGTGTTAAGCACAGAGCATAATTTAATTTACTTTTGCCAGGAATTTGATTTATAACTTGCCATGTGCGTTTTGAATTATGTTTATATTTTTCTAGTAAATCATAGTAATATCGTTTTTTAACTTTTTTTCTTTGACTTTCAAATATTTTAGCATAACTTTTATAAATAATTTTACTTTCTGGTGTAGGTTTTTTTAAGTACATTATATACAGTTTTTGCTTTATTTTTAAGGATTTCCTAAGATCTTTATTGACCCATGGAAACTTTTATTGGCTATAATAAATTCACGTTTTAGAATATTTAACTCATATATTTCATATAAAGTTTGAAAGAACGTATCGTATACTTCAATAGCTTTAAATGAACTTTTTATATGATTCCAATTTATTAAAGATAATTGATCCTTAAACGATGCTAGATTTGCATTGGTGAAAAAGCGTTTGATAATGACTTTTTTATGTTGTTGTATTAATTTGTTTTCAATGTTAATGGAGAAAAAAATAGGGAAGTGGTCGAAAACGTCACTTTTTATTATACCTTTTTTAAGAGTTTCATTAAAGATATCGGTTGTTATAATGTTGTCAATTAAGGTAGCTAAAGTTGAGGTTACTCTAGTAGGTTTGTTAATTAGTGGAATTGCTCCATGATCGAATAAGTTATCGTAAAACCTTTTAATGTTGCTATTAACGTGATATTCAAAACAATTTAAATTCACGTCACCAATTAGATAATTTAGTTTCTTTTCCTTAAAACAATTTTTTTAAATATCATTACACAAAAATGCATTAAAACTTTCAATATGGCCAGA